TCTCATTAGGTCTTTCCTAATTGGGTTTACAATCAAACCTGCTTTTGAAAAGCTTTTAGGTACAAGATAGAGCCTGAATATACCACATATAATAAAATGACAACGATTTTATTATTTGTTAGCGCCATTCATCCAGATCAGGACGTCTCTATGCTTAAAACTGAAATAAACTTGCATAAATAGTCTCAATTTTGCTTTGATCACTGCGAAGCCAATGTAGGCATGCAGCCCTACAGGGCCTGGAGAGGCGCAGACAAGTGGCACTAAGTTAGTAAGGGGCGAGGCCGCTCGGGGCTCCCAAGTCGCAAGGATCGCGAAATTACTCGCGTTTCGAGTGGCCCGAGATTAGAGCGAGTTACGTTACGATGATATATACGCTATTATAGCGATTCTGGCGCGAAATTTACTAGTTAGTGCTCACAAACTACTAAAATTCGCGCCAGGATAGCGTGTTTGAACAGAATTAGGTTTAGAACAATGACCCATTTGTTTGTATTACTTATGCGTTCAGCACAATAACGGTCGGGTTATGAGAAAATTCTCAGCTGTAAGCATGTTCATTTAGATAAAGTAGCTTTAATTAAGCCATAAAAAGACTGATGTGAGTTTCCTGAGATAATGTAGGGTAAATTCGAAAATATGCGCATTTTACTTTGTTTTCACAAAGCAAGTAGGTTGGAAATGTATAAAATATTTCAGAATTTATACATATTAAAGTACTTTCAAGGCGCGTTATGTTTAACGTAAGTAGAAACTACTAAAATGGATGTTCTAAGTAACAAAGTAGTAATTTTTCAAACTTAATTATGAAAGTGTGAGCTTGACTAATGTAGGTACAGAAAATGTTCACACTACGCAGAAGGCAAAGTTTAGTAACTATCATACATATTAAATGAACGAGAAAACTTTTTCTTTACACATTTTAGAGACGAAGGTGCTCTTACTGAAATTACAAAAGTAATTAGCCGAAAAACTTACAAGCCTTTGTATCAACGGTTTTAACTTAAAATTCGGGAGTTTGGGATCCTTCGGAGAAAAGTAAAAAGGGCGGCAAAGTCTTTCGGAAATTAACAGATTTCATTTGGAAGTCGTGGACAAGTTGTATAACAATCTCTTTCTTATCCGCGTCTCCTTTGCTCGGAATCTAAGCACGTATTAATTCGCAAGTTTTCGGGCTTGATGACTGCACACCGTGGATGCGGGGAGCCGAGGCAAGGGGGGCTCGAGTAGAGACGAGATCGTGACGAGAATCGCGAGTGGCCACAATAAAAACCTGAGAAGGTGGAGCACTTCTTTCGGGAAATTAGTTGTCGCATTAGGTACCTATTACTGACGTTCGGGTGCTGATTAACCGGCGTCGAATCGAATTTTGGGGGGCGTACGTGTTCGGAACGCGGCCATTGCTAATTATCACGCTCTTGATGAATGTTTGGTGAGCGCACCTCAATCAATGCCATGTGATATTTTAGCGCGAACCGAATGCGTCTAACAGAAGGTTGCCCTGATTTGTACATATTTTCCTCAAGTCTATTTCTTTGGTACAAATAATTTGTGTTTCCCTCGAAAATGATGTGTGGGTAAGTGTGGGAGAGCCATGCTTCGGCACGAATGGGCCGGCTCGACCGGAGTGATACCACGGCCTCACTGAAAACCGACGTGAAGCAACGCTTGCGTTGTGTTTAATTGTGTGAGTGAGGTTACCGGAGGCCCAATTACCCTCCCCTTCCCTAATCTCCCCAATTACTGAATCCTCAACGATCCTCAAACTCCTAATCCCTAAAAGGCCGGTAACGCACTTGTAACGCCTCTGGTGTTCTAGGTGTCCATGGGCGACGCCGATTGCTTACCATCAGGTGATCCGTCTGCTCGTTTAGCGATTTTTGCCATAAAAAAACATAAAAAAATGAAATGTATTTTGTATCTAAATAAATCAATATTATTATAACGAAGAAAAAAGGTGATGATTCCAGTGTCAGATTTTCTAGCGTGCTAATTATGATAGATGAATACAAAACTCCAAAAAAGTCTTCCAATATGTACCCAGTACAACAACCCACGACCCTCGCGAAGTTTGAAACAGTTTTTGTGTTCCGAACTTGAGTTTCTTTAAAACAAATGTGATAAATCATAAGTAGCTATGGAGTTCGGTGTTTGCTATCGGTACGAACGCTTCCACATTTGCATTAAGTTGCTTCGAAAAATATGCATGAGGGTCTTTTTGTACCGCTAAAAAGTTTTTGTCGTGAGGAACAAACCTGTAACTTTGCACTCAAAAACTTTGAAAATTACACAGTGCACGATGAGCAATTTATTTTAATTAGATTTTGTGAGTATGACTTTGTAGGTAATACTTCGTACGTACCCTTGAGAACCGTACAGAAAATGTTTTAAAAGCAGTTTTAGTTTCATGCTAGGAACGCTGGTTGAAAAGAAATAGTCGTTTTCAAAATTAGAACTCTCTCATTTAAAGTGAAGCGTGCATTCCGATTTCCGATCACTTTTAAAACACTTCATTCTTATTCAAAATGAGAACATGGAATAAAAAAGCATCAAAGTTGGTTAGAGCGGGGACACCGCTCCACAATTAGAACAAAAGAGCTAAAGAGTGGCTCTTCAAAGCGCAATCGATTCTGTAACACACCCGCAACTGAATTACAGAACGTGTGATTCAGGAATATTGCTACTTATTCGGATTCTTTCTTTATTTCGAACAAAGAACACCTTTTCGATTTAACTTTTTTACAATTATATTTTTTTACAACGGTAGGGAGGTGTCACTTCAAACCTTTTTTGTTTATGGCAACCCTGTTGTGTCATCATTTTAACAGGTAGACTAAAATGTACCTGTTTTATTTTGGCATATGGGCTTTATGAATATTCATGTAAACTTTGCGGTCTGTGTCTAGAACGTAGATCAATTTTATTTTGTTATAAGCTTTACTGTCACCGTATGTCTAGAAGCCAGACAAATAATCACAACATGATATTTACAATTCGGTCTACATATTTGCTCAAATTTAGGCTCTCTCCTACTATACCTACATAAAATACCTCTTTATTAACACATTATTAGTAAGAATTTAAAATAAATAAATACCTCTATATACAACTTAAAATATAAATAACTAAAAACTAAAATAAAAAAAACGAATAAACTTTTTGAAGGTGCAATTATTTTAGTTTTTAGAACTATACGTTATTAGTACGTAATACTACAAACTGTTGACTACAGTTCTATATGCTAGATTTTCGAGGTAGTTTTGTTATTAAAACTCATTTTTGTTCATCCTTAAACAAGTTCGAAGACTTCGTCATAGCTGCTTCGTTAAAGAATGACACTTTACTTTTGAATCTTAGTTACTTTTATCTCTACAACCGGCATAGCTGGTTAAACGATAGTATCCCCCAAGCAGCAAAAACTAGTAGGTACTATAAAAAATCATAGAACGTTTTGTAAAAATCTGTCCTTGGTCCATCGTTTATAGAGCTTTTTAGAGTTACTTGTAAGTTGAAGTAATAGGACTGAATTGCTGTTTGGGCCTTACAGGAAAATATACCTACGCATGGTATCAGAGCTCTAAATCACGAACTATTTACCATAACAGACATCAAAGCGCCAATAAAATCATGAAACGTAATAACATAACATAACATAATATTAATAATAACTGTTATAATTACATTAATTGAACAGTATCTGTTTCAATGAATTACATTATCTAAATCTAATTATTAGTACGTGACGTCACTGTAAGCGGTTTAATATACGATAAGACGCGGAGTAATTAAGCGACAGAATCTACTAAGACATACGAGGTAGGGCCGCCATGTTGTTTCTTGGATAATTTGTATTACATAGTCGTACATATACTAGATTTTGCTCAAGGATTTACGTTACAATTTGTAAATATGACACAGTTTTATTATTTTTTATTTTTGTGTTATTGAGGCTGGAAAAAGATCCAATGATGATGATCTCCTCCCGCCTTGGGTTAGGCGAGAGAGAGTGTCAGAGTCTTACTGACTAAAAACCACCCCGTTCCTACAACATGTGGGCCAGCAATCGGTCCGAGCAACCATTTCGTAGAGAATGGAGAGGCCCCAAAAGTGTTATGTCATAACTCCTGTAGCTAAGGCTTGTTTTAATTGCAAGATCCGTATATTTGAGAATTCCAAGAATAGCAAAACTCGATAAAAGCATATTTGTATTTGAAAATCGAACGAAGTAACCTCATCGTACTAGCGACTTTTTTTTTTAAGGGGGGAATATCATCGAATGACTGCTCCCGCCTGGGTGAGGCGGGAGGGAGTGTCAGACTCTTACTGACTAAAAACCACCCCGTTCCTTCTCCTGCACGTCAAGCCGGAGCCCCGATTACCCGTTAGGTTCTCCGCGACATCGTACTAGCGACTTATCAGTTAACGAGAAAAAGCAATACCAAATACTAAATTTTATAGATTAGGTACTTAAAAAGTTATTTTTAAATATAACTGTCTTCGCTATAACTTTGTATGTAAGTATCGAGGGAGATAGTTATTTACTTTCAAGGAAAATACGTGGGTTTACTTCGATATCATGATAGTGACGTGTCTAATTTTATATTCTCTAGGACATAAATCTATTCCATACGAACGGTTGGTGACCCTAGCGAACGTGCGGTGGCGAGCCATCTAACTATTTTACCTCAACTATAAGTTTTCATCTAACCCTAAGTCCTTGTTAGTGTATTTCTTTAATAGATTTTGGACTTTATCTTTTGATAGTAAAGTTTGAAATCGAATTTAAAAGAGTTTGAAGTGCTGTTGTCTCTTAAATGTTCCTGTAAAGATTTTATTGAAAACATCATCATTGCACTAATGCAAGAAAATCTAGACAGAAGTGATACCACGACCTCACAGGTATCCGACATGAACAAACGCAAGTGAATTTTTTATAGGACTCTTAATAAAATACTCCCAATATTATTGATTACTTTGGACGATGATATAGTGAGACTTACCGTTGGTTTACGACTGGTAGGCGAACTCATTTTCGTTGTTCTAACCTGTAACAAATAAAAATAATTATAAAGTTTTTTGCAAAACGTAGGTTGGTATCACTGCATTAACGTTAATATTTTTTGTTGTACGATCAGCATCAAAAGTTGATGAACACATTTCGATTTTCAAAATCGCTGTACACAGTATTACGTATATCGGTCAACATGACAAGCGCCAAAAATAAATAATTATCTTGCGTAGCATTTAAGGTGCTTAATATGTTCGCCAATTTACGTATGATACCATATCATACATTGATTTAAAAAATCTAAATGTGTTCATAACTTTTGATGCTCACCGTACGTAGGTACTTATTTGTATCACAATAATACATGGTTTGGAATCGGAATATGGATGGACAGGACATAGACATCCCTATAAATTGGAAAACTATACCAAACACGTCTTATTTAGAGTCTGTGTTGTATAGGCAAAACTGGCAAGTCTCGCGCTCGCATAGTATAGGTAGATTGCACACGTAATGAAAGTAGATTCACATATAATGTATTTCAATAAACATAGTTAGTTTTAGATTTACATAACATAATAACATAGTTTTAGATTTACCACAGATATATAATATTGTTTTGATTATATCTATAATTGATTAGCACAAAGCTGGGTGGTTTTAGTTATCATAATTGTTTAGTTACATTCATAATAAAATAGTGAACCTAATAACTTTTAATTACTTTGTGTAATTTCTGATTCCCTGCATGGCTTAACATGTTATCCTGAATAATATATTTGGCATTCATTATGCCTGTACTGGTATAATAATGGCGTTAATTTTGATATTTTATTTGTGTTGTATTCGATTTGACCACTGTAAATGTGTTTGTAATATTTTTAACACATTGGATGCCTAGCTATACGCTAGCGGAGGATTAGCCTTTGGCAGTTTTTATCGGCATTTAAAGGCTTCAACTATAACATTCTACACGGCGTCCCTGAAGGCAAGTAGTTACTGTATCTAACTGTACCTCGTAAACATCTGTGATGCCTCTGGTATTTAAGGTAAACGTTAGACCAGTGGTTCCCAATCGGTGGTCCGCAGAAGACAAAAAATAGTCCGGGAAACGTACAAAATATACACTAAACTATTATGTTCAATAATGAACCTCAAATTAAACTTATATCAAAGGAGACAACTGAGAGGAGCAAATGATTCAGTTATTCAAAAGTCAATATTTTTGTGAGTAAATCTAATCTTAGTGTAAAACCACGTAAAAAAGTAAGGTTGGGAACTTCTGCGTTAGGCAAACGGCTACGGTGACTATTTAACAAAAGGAGGTTTATTAGTTTTGTTACATGTGATATGTAGTAAAAAAACCTACAACACCAAAGATATCTTTTGCATGACATGACTGATTTCTTTTTATTGTTCAGGGACAGGCATACGACCAAATGGACAGCCAGTGCTTTTATTTCCTGCTTTTACTTCTGTAAACCCTATTTCTTATGCTATAAGATTGAAACGAAGTAAAGCGTGAACGAATGTATTATAAAAAGTAATTGTAAGTCCGTATTTAATTAGTTCTAAAATAAAGCAATCAACAGACGGACGGATATTAAAATTATAGTTAATTAAGAGTTTTATTCGAATGCAAGGGATCGAGGGCAATGGTTTTATTATGGTTAGCTCTGTAACAAATTAAGTGTGGGTAAATTATTTTTAGAATTACGACTAAATGAAGTGTTTATTTGAAATAATAATATCTTTGTTTCTACATGTAGATTGCTTACTGAAAATGTGATGATTAATTGCAAGTACATAACTACGTATAAATAGTGGATGTTTCTTTTTAAGGGGGGAAAATCATCAAGTCTTCTTCCGCCCGGGTGAGGCGGGAGGGAGTGTCAGACTCTTACTGACTAAAAAACCACCACGTTCCTGCTCCTGCACTTCGAGCCGGAGCCCCGGCAACCTGTTAAGTCCTCCGCGGCTCCGTATCAGCATCAGCCCTATTGGGCCCCATCCGTATGGTATAAATAGTGGATAGGAAGCTTTTCAATAAGAATAAGTCTAGTCTAAGTAGTCATGGAATTGGTAATTCTTTCTTCTTATAAAAACAAAAATAGATGCTTAATGTACCATTCTTTAGAAAAAAAAACATGTCAAAATCCCCGATATGACTCGCAAGGTAAGATCAAAGAATAAAATAATACAACAGACGGGTAACAGTATCACAAAGCGTCTATTTTGTTTAAATCAATCGTTTACAATGAACGTATTGTGCATTTGACGTGTGTAAACGCGTTTACGAAGCTCGTTGCGCGCTGCGGACGCGTGGCCTTTGCAAACTCACTTCACGGATGATTTGCTTGTCCGTATTCAACTTTGGAGCTTCGGAAATTTCATGTTTGTTCCCCAATATTATTGGCAACACACGGAATGAGGCAAATTTATTATCAAAACTATCTGTTTAATTAATAATTTTACGTTTAATTACAGTTTAGCAGGCTCCAATATTATCACTGTGTTATTTGCTCTTGTTATGTTTATATGTACATTGAGTTACTGATGTAATCGCATTCACTAGAATTTGATGTTTGATACACTTATTACTGTTTATAACTGCCTGGTTGCCGAGGGGTCGCAATGGTGACTACCGGGCAAGAGGTCTCGGGTTCGATTTCCGGGTCGGGCAAGGTATTACTGGTTTTTTTTTTAAGTCTCAGTAGCAGCACGGAGTCTGGAATTGTGCCCAGTATATGGCAATAGGCTCACCCCCTATTACATGGGATTCATAACATAAATAGTAAAAAGTGGGTGTTACATTGTACAGTGGCATAATGTACACCTCTGCCTATTTGCCTGCCACTTCGGGGATAAAAGGCGTGATCTTATATTATTTTATGTTACGCTTATTACTAGAGTTTAAAAACAACTTAAGACTTTTGTTGAACAACATCCTTCTTTAAGACTTTCTCCTCACATAAAACTTAGGCATTACGCCTTCCAGCTTTCAATTTAGCCATGAAACAAAACTAATCAAGTTACGTTACACGATATTTGTAGCAGAGCCCAATACCATATCGGCCTAGATGTAAGAGCCGACGCAATTTGCAGTAAATAAGGATATCGGTTTAGCGTCATTATCCCGGCGCGGCCCGCGATATAACGGACCTCGTAACGCGCCTTCACTTAATGAGTTATGCCCTACCCGCGTCTGTTGTACTTAGCTACACCGCGCGTCTCACAACACGATTTATTGTACCTACTCGCTACGTAAGCAATTTCTTTAAACGATTTTTCATCGTATAGGTAAGTAGAGGCATGTTTGAGTAATGAACGATGTAAGTAATAAATTACCATGTTCTTAAGCTACGTGTTTGTGCGGCTTATTTTTCATACCGGCACTGACGCGAAAATTATACTTAGGCAACATCTGTAGCCTGTGTTAATCACCTGCTTATTTTAAACAAGATTTCCAAGAATGGTTTGTTCATAATTCTCATTTGAGAATAGCCTTTTCCCGAATTTTACGATTTAATATGCTACAAAATGCTTCCAGTTGTAACGAGAAATTTGTCTTTGTTCAACTATATCTCAAGCTTAAAGCATAAAATGTTTTATTAGTATAATTACATTCCGCTCAAGAGTTTACTATCACCGTAGCCGAGGAACACGATGCACATTTTATTTTAATTCAGTGGGATTATACGGCTTATCCCATGAGCGTCTAAATAGAAGGCGTTTGACGTTGTCCCCTCCAGACTTGACGGGACAAAGGAGGGACGTCCGAGATGGTTTCTAATTACGACACAGACCGTTATGCAAATCGGGGGCCGACGCGGCGGGCTCTTTGTCTCTAATAAACATGCGCGGCTCTTGCGGTCAGACCGCCAAATTGCTCGCCTTCCACTCGCCCCACCGGCAATAAAACCACTTGAATTGTAGTGCCCTCTCTCTGCAATTAGTACTCTTTGATCGAGTTCATTCGACGAACCTAATATTGAATTTCGCTCGCCGTACTAATTCTTAATTTTGTCTTAATCTGTGTTTAACTTTTGAATAGCGAACCCGTTTACGGCAGCGTTTATTAGGAGCTAAGACGTTCCGAGGCGCACGGGCGAAGCTATTTAGTTGGCAGATGCGTTCCGGTAAATTGAACGGCGGCGAGGTCCGAGGAAATCGCCAGGTCGTGCCGTGACTTCGCTCGTTGCGAAACTAGGCTAAAAGCACCGCTTAGCCGCCATTCGGCGGTAATTTTTCACGGAAAACTGTCCGACCGTCCGGCGGACATACCGCCGATTTAAACGAGTTTACGAACGTTTCGACAATCTGCTCGGACGTTTTTGTTCGGAACGCTATTGTTTTACGACTATAAATTGCGAGGTAAATTTCGAGCGTCAGAATTCTCACAACTAACGCTGGGGACGTTCAGTTGGAAAAATATTCATTTTTCACACGCTCGGCAATATTTCCGTTTTTATTGGAACAATCGATGTGCCTTTTACTGGTGTCTGTACAAAGGTTTGCTAAGCGACGCGGTGCCGTAGTATTCGCGTATTTCGGAATCGTTGCATTTTCACTTCGCGTATGCAAGGGAAGTCGTTACCGGTGTCGTGATCGCGAGCAAAAAGTATAAACTGCTCTATCGGCCTTTGTAAATGCACACGTTGTAGTTTACATGGTCCTCGTGTCAGCATTGTAGTTTAAACTTTAGCGCGTGTGTTTATAAGATCATTTTGCAATGGATATGGGATTGTGTACACGGAGCGGTTTATGCGAAATGAAATTGTAATAATATTCATTTTTCCGGAAGCGGGAGTATTCTTGTAAATGTTTGCGTTTGTTGTGCACGCGCCGCGCATTGTGAAATTATTTACTAACATTGTACTGTTTATAGTTTAGATCGTAAATATTAATGTGGCACAACAATAGTTTGTTTTATTACGTACGTGCTTACATTGTATTGAACCATAAATTATTGTTATCTACATAATTATATCATTAACAAAACTAAGCTTTTAGTAACTGACTCACAGTCACAGATGG